AAAAAAAAAAAAAAAAAAAAAAAAGGAAAAGAAAAGGAGTCCAACATATTGAGAAAAATAATATAAAATGTAAATAAAAAAAATGAGAAGGTTAAGGTAAAAACCCAAGTATCCCTGAGACTTTGCCACACGAAGCACAACAGTAGCTTCCATCCAACTGCATCAAGAGGCCCAGGTCAACTACCCCAACCTTACCACGTTGCAGAGCACACTCAATATGACAAGATAATCCACAAGAGTCCCCTGTACCAGATTCAGACGTGCACTCCAGCCAGAGGCTCGGGTCCTTGTTGTCATCAAATAAATGGCAAATGCAGCAAGAGCACCTCTTGCAGAACGTGTCGTCCGCCGAAAGTGTTGCCCGGCAGGCAGAATTCTTACAGATCCACGAATTTGTAGTTTTCAAGTCAACATATTGTTCTTGGCTAGGAGGAATCCGCATCGGGTTATCCCCTTTCCTCTGCTGTTTCTTGGATTGTGTCTGCTGTTCTTTGGGACTTGAAGACACTTTTTTTACTTCGTAAGCCTTCGACGTTTTCCTAAGATATTTCATACTTTGTTCGGCCATTTTGAGGCTTTTTATAAAGCTGGTTGCCAGTTCATTGATAAAGTGACTCAGAACTGGTGTTTTAGGGGGCTAACTCAAGTGTTGATCCTGTAGTTCTGGTAGCGTCATGCATCATATGGGCTGCCTCCAGTTTTCCGCCCAATAGCATTTACGCATAGTGTGGAGGTACTGAGCACAGGAAACAAGAGAAACAATTATATCCCAAGCTCGTGAATCATTTTCTTCACAACGAGGTATATATTTGAAATGCAATTTTCATATAGGTGTCTCACTTTAGCACAGCATGAATGCTCTTTTTAACAAAACCTGCCTCTTCTCGCAGTTTATTTTTATTTCAATCCCGACTTACTAAGAAGTTCTGCAAAACTATTAAGACGAATTCTTTCAACACTCAGCAAAGGGTTTATCCAGCTAACCAATCCAATCCTTATTGGTGTCTATAAAATGTTATCATACACTTATACAGGCATACTAATCAAGTCATATTAGTGCTTCTGCGGACAAAACATTAAGGAAAGGATAGAAAAGGGCATATGATCAACGGTACATGTCATTCAGTGATTCCATACATGCGTATTGTTATGTACTAAAGTCATTTCCAGCACCTATAGAATCCCGAAAAATAGGCAAGGCAAAGACAAAGTTTAGTTAAAACAAATCATTGAAATTCATTTGAAATACCATATAGCAGCAGCAGAAACGTATTTCGGAGAATATTTCTTCTCATTATCCTCCCAAGTAATTCAGCCCAATGGGTGTGTCAGTTATGCCCATATTCTAAAAAATATACAAATATATCCACGAATGGTTCCTGACATCACCAACGAAAACAGACGTAGCAGCATGTGTCAGCAACAACTGTTTTCAGGCATACCCATGTAGAAATTCACCAATGAATCTAATAGCAGGTGACAAAGCTTCGATTTTTCGCAAACAACAGTTCTCTCACAATCATAATCAATATACATTTCAACATAACTCAATAAACACAAAGAAACCAAGAAAAGAGACATCAGATAATTCAGCACACGAATCCTACACGTTTAATTACACCAAGAATCCATAGCAAATCATATGGAGTGAAAAAAAAGGGACAAAGCAATCAAAACAAAACGAATACATTCAGTGATACCAATTAGCAGCATGCATCAGCAATAACTGTTTCAGGCAAAGTCGAAATTTACCCAATTCGCTAATAGCGGACAAAAAAGCTTCGACTTTTTGCAAACGCCGCATACACCATTTTACTTACAATCAAGATCATATACATTTCAACATAACTCAATAAACAGAAACAACCCCACGAAAGATACATCAGATCATTCAGCATACAAACCCTCGAATAAACAAACAGATTCAATTACACAACGAATCCAAAGCAAATCATATACAGTGAAAAAGGAAAAAAAAGAAAACCAAAAATAAAAGGAACACGAAATAAGGAAGAAATGCAGCTAGATATTACAGTGGAAAATCAACAAAGAAAATCATAAAACCATACATGAAACAGAGAATCTGCGTAAATCCAAACCAGAAACCCTAGAATGATTGATTATCTACATAAAAATAAAAATATATAGCAAAAAACGTAGAATTAATCATCAATGGGCTTGAGATCTCAACGACGCAAATTACCAGAAAAAATAATTTTCCTCCAAATTGATCGTCAAAGTCGACAGCCCGCATTGACGAGTCAACTCATTGGTTTTCAGCTGCTGAGCGAATGCGTTTGTATGTCCGTCTTCTGCGCGTTCGTGTTTTTTGGGCGATTGAGAAGTGGGTCGGGTTGTGATAGGCTTGGCGAGCCAACATAAATCGATGGTCATTGGATGCAGTATTTTGGGCCATTGGATTATTTGTCCTAAATGAATTTTATGTGAATTATTATCTGAATCTGCCAAATCCAATTGGAGTCAATAATTTAATTGTGGAATATTTATGGCTTAAGTACATAAATATGATAATTCCAAAAGAAATTGGCATAACAACGAAATCTTCAAAGTAATTCCACGTTAATGGTTGTAAGAAAAATTAATGTCACAAAGACAGGAGTATCAATTTATGGAAGTCATCCAATATAGTATGTGATAAGAGTCTAAGATTTACCATTTCAATTAGTATTTTATATTCTATATAATTTTGATTCTCTGCCATTTAGAGTAAATCTTCTCTCCAATTACATTATTGCTATAGTTTATTTTAAGTTTATTATCAATTTTTCATTAAATTAATAAAAAACAATTATACAATAATAAATCCTTATACATAATAAAACTGAATCTATGAACTTTTGTTAGATCATTTTAGTTTATGTTAGGCCTCTTACATTATTCCTACAATTTATTTTAACTTTATTATTCATTTTTTATTAAATTAAGAAGAAAACAAATATACAATAAATTCTTATACAAAATTAAACTGAATATATGAACTTTTCTTAGATTATTTTTAGTTTATGTTAGGTTTATTACACTATCATCCCTACGTTTATCTTAAGTTTATTATCAATTTTTTTATTAAATTAAGAAAAAAATATTCAATAAATCCTTATACCAAAAAAAAAAAAAAATGAATATAAACTACAAATAAGACAAAAAAAAAAGTAAATGTTTGTAATTTTAGTTTATGGTTGGATTATCACTAATAAATTTACACTTTAAATCACATTTCGGTTTACTTATGGTTAATATAAGTAATGTATTATTTGTAAATCATTCATAACTAAACTATAACTAAACTATTGAAAAAATTCATATTTATACACAGTGACGAAACCAGCCAGTCATCCCGGGAAGGGCCCAATTTGCCGCGGCGCACCACCCCCACTTCGGCCATCCCGCGGCGCACCACCCCCACTCCGGCATCGGAAGGGCGCTCAAAGGGCTTTTGTGGATGCTCTAAAAAAATTTCGCAGGATATAAAAGAATACTCTAGAGATTTTTCTAAAAATCAAACTAAGTCCGAAATTAAACTGGTATACTTAAACTGAATTATTTTAACTCGAAAAATACTCGAATTTATACTAATAAAAATCTCGGACTCAATTATAATAATAAAGAATTATACCTCCTTTCGAATAGACGAAAAGCTGAAAATTTTGAGAAAACGAAGCCTCGAACGATCGAATTCGTCCTCGACAAATTTGCTTCTTTTAATACTATTTAATGCAGAAATTCAAACTCCCTTAATAAATGCTCGGAACTCTGAAAAATGCGAAGTTTGTCCGTATGGAATCGTGCTTGAATTGTCTACACACTCCAACTCGATTCTCGTTAAACCGAGGTCACACGCAACCTTACTGAACCCCACAAAACGGCTTTTTATTCTTCTATTATGCGCACTCGACTTCGAGCTTCTCAAAATAAATGCTCGAAACTTCGAAACGTGAAATAAATTTTACGAACGGCTTCAATTGTTCTCGTGCTTTCAAGAAAGCACTCCCGCTAATTTTCAGCATGCTTAACAAGGGTCGACGGTTACCCGAAGTCTAGACATAAAAATGACAATAAAATTACCGCCACTGCCATTTTTCTCTCAACTTCGGGCTACCCAAAATAAATGGTCGGGACCTTAAAATCATAAATCGATGTCACCAACGCACTCTCCGCTTCTCGTACTTTCATAAAAGTATTTTTCGGTAATGATCGACTCGGTTTTTGAGTCCCGTCGGTACACCGCAAGTCGACTAATTAACCAACTCAAAATATAATAAAAATGAAAAAATTATTAAATTCTGCTGTTGTTATAGTTCTCCTTGTCCCGCAACCAGGATCCCGTTTCGGGGAAGCCCAATTTGCCTTTTAAAAAAAAAATTCACGACAAAACCGTTGGCGCCCCTCCATCCATGTGTGTACCGCATGAAATCGGGAGGGCCCAACATGCGCGCTCAAAAGAAAATTTCCAACAAAATCCTCCACCCCTAGTTTGAATTTTTTTTTTTTTTTTTTGGAGGGCCGGCGGCTCTCCGAGTGCCAACATAGTTTCGCCCCTGTTTATACAAGACAAGCTAAAAACATGTGCATATGCAAGAAAATAACAAATAATAAAATAAAATAAAAAATTGCACATCATATATAATTGACGTTTGAATATCCATGATTTATAAACCATATTTAAACTGTAAATGAAATTTGGCAGGAATCACACTTCTCAATATTAAGTTTATTACTTTTTTAATCCATTAATTAAGATAATGTCAATAAGCTGTAAATACGGAACATAAAAATTTGATAACTCATTTTCTTGGTAGATTAGAATTGAAAAGGGACATGACTTTTTTCTCTCGTTTATATGTACATATAAATATGTTTGATCGTCAGGGGGTAATTATCTCAATTTATTGTCTTTTAGAAAAAAACTGGACTTTTGTTCAGCAGTAGCTACGATTTTGAAGAATAAATTATCAAAATGAAATAATACTTTTTATGAATAATTTCAATAGTAAGTACTTTAATAAGTTTATATTTAGATTCCAACATTATTAAAAAAAAATCATATTAGTATGCTTCAATTTATTTGGGACAATGTAAAACGTCAATATTAATAAAAAATTAATTTCGAAAGTATTAATGTAGTTGTATAGTAACTTTTTGATTTTTTTTAAATGGTTTTCAGAAATGGGAAGTC